CTTTAAACTGTTAAACACGAGCTTGGTCTCCCAGGGTTTGTGAGCCGTAAAGACAGCGATCACAAGAGCTACAACTCTAATTTGCGCCAAGAAGTTAAAAACATTTGAAGAAGATTACTTCTACAGACTTTGGTTGACTTAAGCTTATTTGGCTCTTCGCGTAAAGTCAGAAAAACATTTGCTCGCATACATTCATAGGTACATTATGTACCTAGTTTATACTGTTTCTTTTCTATCTCCGTCAGAAAAACACTGTTTTAGAACTTCTCTCATTTTTTATCGAACGTGCATCGTAAAATTTCTAAAAATCATAAATGGGGGATAAAAAGGAGGCTGATTAAAAGTAATTTCTCTATCTTGCGCGTGCAAATTAAAACTACAAAATTTGGAAATCCCGTCTCATTCAAGAAAGTTAGTGAATTAAATTTACTGTCCATTTTAGTAAACTCGGTCTCCTAAGGAACAAAGGGAAACCTGTCCAAAAAAAAAATTACGTGGAGTTCTGTTGTTTCTGTGATGCCAATATTGTTTTCAAATTACAACATTAGCTAAGGTAAAGCTGTTTTATTTTTTGAAGCGTTAAAAAACCTCAATAGCACGAATACTTGAGCGCTGAGCGTAAGAAAAGCATGGACTTTTACAGTAATTGCCCAGTTACTCAATTTGTTTTTGTTAATTTTGACGCATCTTTCTAAATAAAAGCACTTAAAAGAGTGTCTCTGATATTCATTTGCCCAGAAACTGACAATAAGCGGCGAGATCACTTTTCAACAAGAAAACATTGAAAGCAAGCGGAAATGCAAAGCTGGAATCAATAGTCTGCTAATGACATTGTGAGTTGATACCGAAAGCGTTTGTTGCGGAGAAAACACGTTTTTCTGAAAGAGTCGTGGATAATTTCCATTTTTATTGCTTCGAGGCAAATGACAAAAATAGCGGCTCTGATATTTTTTTATTATTTGTTTATCCTGTGGGGCGCAACAGTGCAGTTTCAGCGTCGTATTACATTCTTGTTAAATAACAATTGATAGCACAGAGGGCAGCGTTATGGCGAATAGATATGTGACAAACGGAGCACAAACGGGTCAAGCAAGATTGCCACCGATTAGAAGAAAGTACGGCTCCATTAACAATCCGATATTTCAGGATTTTAGACGTGATAGTTTGCCGTCAAGTCTTCCAAGACTCCCTCAAGTGGAGAACCGACGGCTTCTTGCAGCGAAGACGTCTTCGTTCCTCCCTCAAGAGAGAAAAATCAGTTCTTTCTTCACAGATGACAAGAAGCTTCCTCCATTGAGACGCGTCGCTACAGAGCCCAGAAATGCGTTGAAAAGGTCGACTGAGTCAAGAGGGCTGAATGGAGAGCAGAAAGCTCTTGCCGGTTGTGGCTTACGTTCGGTGGATGATATATATCTCGATGACGATCAGGCTAAGAACGGGACATTTAAAGATGAAGCCTTTGCTGAGAACACCGGGCCATTTCGAAGGCCCGCGCAGTTACTGCGAAGACGGCTAAGACCCAGCAGAGCGTACATGTGCCAACACAGTGATGGCCAAATTTCCCATGGAGAACTGCTTAGGCTCGATCAAAACATGGATCAACTGTGTGCTATTGCGGAAAGGGACCGAGTCATAGAAGTTAGAGATTTTAACGGAGAGAAGATCGAGCCTAGGAAGACTGAAAACTGCGATATCACATCTTACATGGGGATGTTTGCAGTTGAAAGCAAAGCGGATAGTAGTAGCAGCGAGGACGGCAAGTGCGCTTCAACGGTCAAAACAGATCATAACACTGGCCTGCCTCGAGTAAGTGAAGAAACAAAGAAGCGTGTGAGAGGTCGTTTTTATGAGGCCCTAGATCTCCATTTTTATCATAACTATCGTAACGCGCATCCCGAGCGTAGAATGGCTATTTGTGAAGAAATCGAACGCAATATCGTTGTCGATAACATTACGCTGTCGTGGTTCAGAGAAAATTTGCGACTTCAAGACGTTTTGAATATTTGGATGCTATGAAGTTTAAGAAACTATTACGCCAGTTTGTTTCCGCAAGGGGATTTCTAGTAAAACTAAATGAAGCGGACTTGCATGAAAAGATGGCAGCTGTAGACACTGACTTGTTTTCAGCATGGTATTCACCTGCGCCCGATATGATAAACACAAATTTTTACTTTAGTTTAAGTCAGTTTCATTGATCAAAATTAAAAAATGTAAATAAATCCCTTGGTAAAAGTGTGCGTAGAAATTTCTCATTGCTTGTTAACGAAAAATTGAGATAAGAAGAAGTCCTTTTGCTGAAATGATAAAGAACAAATCAAAAAACGTGATCAGTTGCTTGAATCACGCGTTGACTTGGAGAACAGTCAAAAATCACGTTCTTGATGATTTATTTTTAGCAATTTCATTTAAGTGTTTTCCAAGTCAGCCGCTCATCCTCTCAGCCGCTTTACTCCCGCTTCCGTTGCTTTAGGCGTCAGTGAAAAATTACCTAAGCTCCCTCTTGCCTGGATTGGACACTTGATTTCCCAAGACAATGATGCAAAGTTCCAGGATTCCATAAGATAAACAAAGTCGCAAAAGATGCACCATCTCTTTTACAAAATCAAAAAAAATAAATCAAAAGGAAAATCAAACGCCGCTTGAAACAGTTCACTGTTGACTAAAATCCCCTGAAATTACGACTCACAGAAATACTTATTAATTTGTTTCTACTCCCACCCAGCCACTTCCCGTCACGTGATTAAGTGCTACCCAGGGGAAATTTCTCGCTACTTCTAAGCGTCGTCGCTTTAAAATCGTCTAATCTTGATGGCGCTTAGTTTCGGGAATTTTAGTCGGGAATTTTAGACCAATTAACTCAAACTTTAAATTTGGTATTTTAAGTCAAAACCAAGTCAACTCATTTTGTAATCAGCGTGAGCATTTTTAAGACCAAACTTATAGGTATAACTTCAGCTGTTCAGCATTAAATGGGGAAACATACAGTCATGCAAAATAAATTTGCGTGGTACATGATAATTGTTCAATAAAATCAATTGTTTTCGTTTAGAGTTTATTTAAATATGAGTGAGCTTTACAGAGGTCTGTAAGTTACCGTGTGGGTTGTCTACAACAAAAGTTCAAAGCCGAGAGGAGAGAGAGAGAG